GTACTCAAAAAGTTTTTCAATCATCAAAAGCGGCTAATGCAGGAAAATTGAGTCCAAATTGGGAAGGACCTTACAGGATTCGAGGTATTGCTGGAAAAGGCGCATATGAGTTAGAAATAGTGGACGGCAAAGTACCCGTCAAATTGGAATGTTGTTCATTTGAAGAAGTATTACTTCTAAAAGAGAAAACCCCAGTCAGGTATCGTTTATGTAAGGTTTAGATTTATTCTTTTTTAATTATACTAACCATTTTAGATGATCGGCAAAAAGCTAGCCCATACCAAATGATGATTTTAGACCTAAAAGACACACGGGATACAAAATCATCCCCGGTCTGGGTTGCAACCTTTCTGATGTAAATAAAAAGTTTTAAGCAGTCATCATCTAAAATTATACCTCCGAGTCCCGTGTGTATTTTCCTTTTCAGGAAATGGACCAAATGGAAGGAATGATCAAGTGCTCGAGATTTCATACTTCAAAACTCTAACACTTGGGGGAATATAGGTAGGAGGAAAAGAATACTGCAAGTAAAAGAAGAAAGAAGACTAAAAGTCAGTTCAAGCTAGGATCGACCCAAAAACCCAAAAATCAAAAGATCAAAAGATCAAAAGTCAAGAGCCAAGAAAACAAGTCTGAATCAAAAACCTTTTGTATTAAGCTTTCATAAAGTGTAAACTCGTGGACATTAATTATAAGATCCTACGAGTACTAAGGTTAAAGGCAATGATTAGTTATGGGTTGCAAAATATACCCTAGAAATTTGTGAAGTCTGTAATAAAAAAAGTTATGAAAGAGTTTGTAGATGTTATATAGTTACTTAAATACGTGTAAAGTGTTATATAATTTGAAAGTTCAAAATACAAAACTTCCTCAAATTATTCAAGAGATTTCTTTGAAATATGTATTTCCTACTTCTTTCATATGTTTACACCAATATGAAGTTGAGGCGTCTTCTTCATTAGTGTCGTTCATAAAAGGGCCCTCTTTGATAAAATTTGTGTCCATTCAAAAATAGCGAAATACTAAAGCATTTTTAAATGCAAATTAAAGAGTAGAATAGAAACTCAAACAAAATATTTTATATATTAAACTTGGCCAAAACTAAGTATGAACATAGTTAAATCCAAGGAACTTTGCTAATAAACCCCAAAACAGGCCAGGGGTAAAAACTTGTCAACTATTTCAAAAAGAAAAAAAAGAGAAACAAACTTCCCAACAAAAAATTCACACAATACTATGGGGCAAGATTTAAAGCAGAACTATCAGCAGCAAGAGAGGTAGAATCCAATAAGGCATCAGCAGCAACGAGAAAAGATACAACTTGAGTAGAAGAGGCTTGAACATCAAGTTCATCACCTTCGGGAACGCCGACTTCAGGTGGGGAAAAGTTCTGATGTTGCTGGATTTTTTCAATAGTTTCCTTAGCTTTTGCAATCGCAGCATTCAAGTCAAAGTCTTCCTGGCTAGCCTCCATCAAAGTCTCAAGGCATGTATTCAAAAAGCCCAACTTACATCAAGAGTTTCTTTATCTTCAAGGGCCTCGTAATCTTTTTCCCATTGCTCAATTTCAGCCTCCAACTCTTCTCTTTCAGCCAAAGAAGCATCATAAGAAGCCTTCAAAGGGGCGAATGAACTCTCTAAGAACTGGACCTTGTCAGAAGTTGCACGGAGGTCTTCTTGGGCATGTGTGAGCGTTTGAACAAGCTCCCCGACATAAATATCCTCCTGGTTAAGCAAATCTTTTAAACCCCTAATTTCTTCGGTAGCTTTAGAAAGCTGCTCCACGAATGAAGACTCAAGAATGTCTTTGTCCTTGCCCACTTGACTGGAAGAGGCTTTCTCAATTGCCAATTCTGATGCCATCACTTGTATTTGCTGTTCCAAAGCACATTTCTCCTCATCCAAAATTTCTTTTTCCAATTGAAGACTCCCGTACTGTTCCCTCCAGTTGTCTTCTTCCGTACGGTAATCATTGACTAGCTGCTCAGTACTGACAATTCTCTTCATAAGCTCCGTGCCTATCAAATTGATCTTCACAAGAAAGGAAATAAGTGATTATCAAACAAAGATAAAAATCACGAGGGAAGTAAAAAAAAAACTAAGGCTTATACCTTCAAAGATGAATGAACAATATCGTTCATCCATGTTAAAGAACTGTGGCTTTCCAACTTAGACTTCTCAACTAGGCCAATTAATGGTTTTAGCCGTATATCGGCTTGGCCGGACTTTTTCAAAAGATTTCCGTCCTCGCGGACTTCAATGGTAACTTTTTCATCATCCTATTGCTACTTGAAGGACCAACTTCAACACGTGAAGTGGTAGCGGTAGGGAAAATTGAGGAAGTGAAAACAGCCACGGGAGGAGCAGTAGCAGCAATGACAGAGCAAGAATTTGAGAACCAATAGGAGAAGATAGTGGAAACGAGGCGAAGGGTGCTTCATCAGAAACAAGGTCAAAATCTTCAATATCAAACCCACGGGAAAATAGTTGATCAGTAGAGTCACGAGGTGCAGCATTCATCTCTTCATCAGAGCTCGTTAAAACAATACTTCCAGGCTCATTCACGGGAACTGAACTTGGAGGAGGGGTGACTTCATCATCCGAAATAACCCGTCTTCTAGCCCGAGGCCTGCGCACTAAGGAACCCTTTTCTCGTTCCTCTTCACCATCAGAACTCTCAGCTTTTCTCTTTGATGAGGAATTTAAAATCATTTCTTGAGCAAGAGACAAAGAAAGTCTTGATGAAGTAAAAGACGCGGCACTGACACCTCGAATGGGAAAACCTAACAAAGGAAAAAGTTAGAAATCCTCAAGTAAATACGAAAGGAAGGAAAGAAATTAAAGGAAAGTATACCATGAGTTTGACTTTCCAGCCAAACCTATGAGAAAGGTATTTCCAGGATCTTCTTTCCATGGGGGCAACCAGTAATATCTTATCTACCCAAGCACGGAAGTCTGGTATTTCATCAAAAACTTCCATGGTTGCTAAAAAGAAGAAAAGACGTCCATGAGATCGTCAATTTCTTCATCTTTTGTAAAAGAAGAAAAATATGGAAAAAAAACTTACGTGCAAAATTCCACTTCTCTGGAAAAGGCATGTTCTCTTTATCCACTACACCACTTGTGGGAGCAGAAATGAAACGGGCATACCAGCCAGGTCTTTATCATCTTCAGGGCTAACCAAAACCTTTTTGCTCCTAGAAGCGAGAGCGAGAACCCTTGAGCGGAACAACTTAGGGGAATACAGATGAAGCAAGTGTTGAGCAGTTAAGGGTAAAGAGGCCAAATTAGATAAGTATCGTAAACATGCAACGACTCTCCATACAATAGGTCCAATCTGTCCTAAGCAAACGTTGAAGAAGCGACATAATTCTATAATAACTGGGTCGATAGGGGGTCTGAAACCTAAAGTAAAAGGATATGTGTAAACGAAAGAATAACCAGATAGGAACGAAGTAATCCTTTGGTTTGCACCAGGGATTAAAATTGGAAAATCAGGTTTCCAGTAGCATTCTCTTCGCACAAGAGAAATCAAACCATTAGTAATCTGAGAATGATAGACATCAGCACGATCATGGGAAGTCATAGAGGTAACTTGGTTTTCTAATTGATTCACGATCAGTGGAGAAAGAAAATTCCGCAGGGATAATTTCATCAACTGTAGGTTCTTCAAGAGGTTCACCTAATTCCCTATTTTTTGCAGAAGATCTATGTGTTGAAGAAGCCATATTCCTAGATGAAGAAGGGGTAGCAATGTTGGGTTGAGAAGTAGAATCACGGACAGATAAAGAAGACATGGATGCAAGAAAGTAATGTGTACTGAAGAATAAGAACAATTAGAGAAGAAGGATATTGTAGATTGAAGGTTTTTGTGAAACTAAAGGCACGTGTGGTATTTATAAGAAGGAGCAATCGTCATGTAAAGAGAGTCATGATGTAAACGTCATAATGAAGTAGTCACTTCGTGACTGACGCAGTCGCAAGAATGCCCTAAAAACACTGAAGAGTCGCAGATCCAATCGGCGGAGGCCACGTGGAACATGCATTAAATGGAAATGACATACGATGCGTTGGTTCTGAAGAAGACATAATGATACATGGGAAACAGCGGCAAAAATTCCCGCCATAAATACATACCACTTCCCGAATATTCAATTGCAGAATATTCAGAAAGTGAGGGGACTATCTGTATTAGTAAAAAATAAATATGACACGTCGAATTACGCGTGGCTGAAAAGGCATGATACGTGGATCACTAAGAAGATGACAGCTGGGATACTGCATCAGAAGATTCACGAGATACAAGAGGCACGGGCAAATCACTCACGGGATGAAGGGATGCAATTGCTCGTGTCTAAATCATTCCGTAAATATGGGTTGAATGAATCAAGACAATAAGAAGGGGAATATTCACGAACCTCTAATTAATGAGGAATAAGAATTGGAACCGTTACAAAATCTCCACAAACAGTTACGATTGTCAATTATAACGGATCATCAGTGTCATTAATGTCATAATTACTCGGTCATAACAGAGAGGAAACATTATAGTTGTAAACCCCTATAAAAGGGAAGAGAATTTCATTTTTTAAGGATCATTTGAGACTATATTGGAATATAATCACTTTATTTTTCTGCTATCTTAACTTTGCAATCAATTATTTCTTTACTTATTTTTGTCTTTTCCTTTTATATAATTGAGAAAGTACAAAATTTCTTGGTTATCAGTAACCCGAGTTCTTCTAAAAATAGGCTGTGACCGAAACACACATTTGTTTTTGTTAAACAATTCGGATGGTTAAAAAACAAATAGTCTTAATCATTTAATATTCAGATTATAAAACACATCTTAATATTCAGATGTGTATTTAAATTTAAATGTGTAAAATCTTAATACACGCCTTGTAAGATTCAGACTTAATCTTAAAATAAAATAAAAAAACAAATGAGGTCTTAGTATATTTGATGAAGAGCAAAGTTATTTGCCTTGACACACTTAAAGAACCAAAATTGGTCAAAAAGAAATTTAAGATACTATTTTATACCTATATCCTAATAGGAGAGGGATCATGTGGATTTTTTCGATCAAAATCCCTAAACCTACCCAAAGAAAAAAAAATTAACTGCGAAATCATCATAAACAAGATGCAACTAAATTCCATCGATCAAATCATTGTTCAATAAAGGAGAAGTGAATATGAATCAAGGTTCACCAATATAATCGGCACCTCTGATTTCGTCAACTCACCAAGTCCAGGTATGTCTTCTTCTCCATATTCCCGCAGCAGAATTTCGTATGTTTTGTCCCATTTTTATATGCTTTTCTGGACCAAATTAAGATTTTTGACGACTTGCTGATACTTTTATCATAATCTTATACTATTTCAATGAAATTCAGACTCACCTTAACCGCATTGTGATTCGCTGTCGAGTGTATGGTTCTTGTGAATAGCAGAGAATATTTTAGGACCTACTGCTAATACGTTTATAATTGTTTGTTGATTTTATTGGTACTGCTGCGAATAATTTGGACTAGTCATATGATTTAATTAAACCTAACAACCGTGTGATAAAGAGAAATTATCAGTCTTGGTTCTTAATTTAAGGAACATTGTGCTAATATAAGAGGTTACTCTTTTGCTTTGCTGTAGAGCTCATAATTTAAGGAACCTTTTTTCTCATTATTTCTGTTTGTATACTGTTTTTACATGTTGATTATGCTCGATTAAGTGTTTGAGTCTGACAATGATGTGATTAATGCTTCATTTAGTATTTGAAATGTTGAGATGCCACTATTTGCAAGAAAATTGTTAGATGAAATATCTGTGAGAACTAGACTTTCTTAGATTCTGTGGTTCAGCTTCTCCTCATCTCTAGAAGCTTTGACGTGAAGCACCAATTAGTTTACAGCTTAATTTCATAGCGGATCAAATCAACAGCAACTACGATGAACAAGAGTACTCACTCATGGCCTGCAGTTTGCCTAAAGATGCAATGGTGCAGATACTCTTAAGACTTCCTGTTAAGTCGCTGCTCCGCTTTAGGTCTGTCTGCAAATCATGGTACAATTTCCTCAAGAGCCCTCATTTCATTAAGTTGCACCTCACCCATCAAATTGCTTACAACAGAGAGAACTATGGCTGCTTCCCTGACCTCTCTTTGCTCCATCTTCATCAAATATATTTTAGTAACCCATTGCCTTTACCTTTTGCTATTGAGGCTAAGGACTATGCAAATTTTGAGTTTTACTACAATGGTTTAATATGTTTGATGAAGGATATCTATATGTCACCAGAAGTTATCCTGTGGAATCCTGCTACTCGGAAGTACAGGTGCATCAATGTACCTTCTGAGTGCTCCAGATTTACGTATCTAAAACTCGGTTATGTTCAACAAAGCAATGACTATAAACTTTTGAAAGTCCCTTTTGAACCACGGAGTAATGATGAAGCGTCCAAAATGGCTTGGGTCTATACCCTGAGTTCAGGTTCATGGAAAACTGTACCGTTCACCCTTCTTAGCCTAACTGTTGCATGGGGACCTCAGATTTCGCTGAACGGTTTTGTGTATTGGCTGGCTACTTCAGCGGTGGAATGTATTATCTGCTTTGATTTGATTAAGGACGAATTCAAACTTGTAGACATTCCTGATGATCGTGGAATTGAACGTGAACATGTTCAAAGAAGGCTTATGGTTTTAAGGGGATCTCTTGCCATGATGGTCTCCGTTGAGGATGGTTCTAGGGATACTGAGTTATGGGTACTGATGAATAAAAGTGGCGTTAAACAATACTCTTGGACTAAGAAATTCATTATAGAACCTTTCTCCAAAGAGGCAATCCCTTTGGGAATCTGGAATGATGATAAGCTTCTCGTTGTAGTTTTACAAACTCGTGCTCTCAAGCAAGTCTACACTTATGATCTGGTTACAAAAAAGATAGACTATTTTCATGTGCCAAAGGAAGAAGAGTTTGATTCGTTTATGTCAGTGCGTGGGCGCTATTTCGAGAGCTTGGAACTTGAAGATCGATATGGGAAATACTGATCAAACATGGATATGGGAGATACTGAAACAAGTTTGTGTCTACTATTATACTATATTAATAATTTCCAATTTTTCTATTTCCTTTGGATAGAGCAAGGGTGCTACAAAGTACTGATTTATGTTCCATTTTATTGTTTACTTTGATTTATTTTCTCCATCTTTGATTAATTCAAATGTAGATCCCACAACACCTTATAAATAAGGCCTTCACATCTACTAAAATTGGAGGGAAAAAAGCATTTCATATTCTGTTCAGTACCAGTTGTGAATTGATAACGACATGATTTCCTTCCAGTAAAATTAACATATTTGTATCCCCCGTTTCTCTGTTTTGTTTGAGGTGCTAATTTAGCTTGCTTCAAGAAGTGCACTTCAGTTTCAAACTCTGGACTATTTCAATCCTATGTTACAGGCAAATAATTGATGGGGAGATATTACTGTACATGGTTGCATTTGACTGGATTTTTGTGGACAGGCAATGAATAGTTTGATATTTAAGTGGGTGAGAAGATCTGCTGCCCGTAGTTCCATGTTTGTTATTGCTGATTCACTTATTATTCTGGGTATTTGGTTTTTGAATTGATGCTTTCGACGCACTATGCTTGTGTATCAAGAAACTCACTCAAGCCGGAGGACCGTTACAGGTTCCTTAATGGACAATCTACGATTTGTTTGCACTCCTATGAGATTCTCTGCTTCTGCTGCATGTCTTAAATTCTACAAAATTGTTTCTGTATCTTTTTGAAATGATTATTCAGCTAGTTGTCCATTTTGTAATTTGTTTAGTAAATAATGTTGTGATAGATGTGACAAGGATAGAAAATTCGTCAACTATTTAAGTGATACGCGATGAGTGAATAACTTGCGACAGGGATAGAAAGTCGATCGGCTCTATCGAACAAAACTTTCTAAATGTTATAAATAGAATTTTATTTATGGTGAATGTCTATATTTAGAGAGATTCTAGGGTTTATTACTTGGTGGCTAAGTCACTCTCTCCTATAAATAGAGGGTTTTATTCCATTGTAATTCATCCCAAATCAATAAGAATTCTCTCCCTCTACTTTTCTCTGCAATACTCTTCTTCTTCTTTTATTGTTTTATAACACGTTATCAGCACGAGACTCTAACCAATTGAGTAGAAACTTTGGGATTGAGCATAATGATTGTCAATTGTTCCATGTACTTTATTCGTGATTAAATTCTGGATTTAAGGTAAGTATTTTACCGTATTTTTCTCTTTTATTCTATACTTTGATTTTAAATACAAGCAAAGACAACAAAGTTTGATTATAACTCTAATGGAGTTTGTAAGAACTTATAACCACCTGAAGTGGTAAAATTTCTATGCCTCGCCATGATCAAATTCATGTGTGATTATGGGCAAAGAATTGAAAACTCGTTCCATTGAATTTGCTCCATTCTCATTCCCTTAAGAGAATGTGATAGCAGTATGTGATAAGTCTGAAAGAAGACAAAATTTACTACTAAATGTATCAATGGATATGGACGTGGCAATAGACGAAATTATAATCGTCATCATTTGTGGTAATGAGAACAATAAGGATTCTCAAAATAGTCTTTCACTCTGTGAAAAATATTTGTCATCGATTTGACATGAGATTTTGTAAAGCACATATAGATGATTATGGTCCATTCTTGATGTGAATGTGACAACATCTGATTTATGAATACATATTCATTCTTCAAAGAATATGAACGTGCTAGTGGTAGTGAATATACCACACTCACCTCTAAAAGGAGGTTTGAGATGATATAAGAAAATAATGTCATTATTATGGCATGAATGGTCATTGGTCACGTACCTATTGTACACCAAAATATTTTGGCATTGTGATTGTTAAAAGACAACGGTAATGCAAGAAACAGATCTTGCATATAATTTTGACCATAACCATAATGGTATAACTTTCTCTTTAAAAGAGATACTCACCATATAGGTGTTGATGAATATGTGGTACTACAAAATTAATTGAGAGCTCTAGAAGAGCCAATTATACTATTTTGGAGAAACACAATTGATTACCAATAAGTTATTGTGTTGTAGTAAGTCTCAAAGAAACTTATTCAATTTTCAAAGTATTCGCGAAAGCGGTTGGTCATACTGAGACTATAAATAAAGGAAAGATTTAATATCTTCTATTACTACAACTTGTAGCAGGGTAATATGTATGTGAAAAGCTACCCGCTTTATTCTCCAATTTGTACTACATAAACAAAAGAATACCACAATGAAGTAAATATTTATTGATATAAAAACCCATATCGTAATAAACTTGGAGTTTATTCATAATTGCACACATCATGGTGTAAACCTGAAGTTTATCAATATTGATAAATTATCCAGTTGGCATAATTGGTTTAGCCATGTTAATTCAAGTATGATGTGCAAAATAAAAGAGAATTCACATGGGTAAATATTAAAGAACTAGAAAGTTCTTTACGAATTCTCTTACGTTGCTTGTTCTCATTAATTAATAGACCAATTAAAATTGGGATTGAATCCCATGAATGCTGGAAATATCAAAGGTGAATATGTGCCCATTCACCCGCCATGTATACCACATAAGATGCATCTATGAGATGGTTACATGTGCGATTATTATTAACCCGCAACATGGCCGGTGTTTGCGAGGTAACTTGCTCAATAATTTAATTTCGAGCATAATTTCCAGATTTTCTATTCAAGATAGTTTATCTTGATAAGTTGGTTTACATCACAGTTGGTTTAGCAAAATGATTTATTGAGTGCCTCCACTTAATAGCTAAACTATTGCTTATGAGAACAAAGTTATCTATATCAGTTTGATATAGGTTATATACGAAAGTATATTACATTCTCCCCTCACAAGTGGTTTCAGGGTCAGGAACCAAATAATTCCATCCCATTATTATTGATGTGTGGTGTATATTTTGATTGACACCATAACGCACAAAGATGGGTTCTCAAAGTTGAGGAAACAAGTTAGTTTTTCTAACATGAGGGGGAGACATGATAAATAGTTGAGAAAAAGTTACATGAAATGAATTATCATTTATACATCTAGATCCCCGAATAAAATAATATGAACTTGAAGTTCAGAAAAGGATAATTCATGTGCAATTTATTGCAAAGCATGCCAGATGCACTTGCTGACCCAAAGAAAGTAACTATATTCTCATTGCAAATGCTCCTATTAAGTCCTAGAAGGACAAAGTCTATGGTACGCTTGATGTGTATAGACAAATTGGTTTCAAATAAACTTCTTGATAAAGAAGATGAGCACATGATCTAAATGATCATAACAAAGGAGGCAAGTGATCTAGAAGATCACATGACATAACACTTCATAAAATCTCAGGAGAGATTCAGGTACCTGAAGATATAAATGAAGAGATCTCTATGTTATGTCTTTATGAAAAATAAGGAGGTTGGAACCGATATAAAATGTTCGCCGACGACATCTATAATAACGCTAAATATATATATAAGGATCTTAAGTCTGAAGAAACAATTCAAATAGAATTGGTTTCATATGAAAGACATGTAGTTTTGAACATGTAATTCAAACACTTGAAAGTATAAAGTCAATGGTATGTGCAATCAGTTTTCGATATCTTATATGTCTAGCATGACATGAAAACTTGATATGCATCTAAAGTCTATTATATGACTTATATGACTTAACAATCCCTGAAGGATTTAAATTGCTTAAAGCATATAGAATTCATGGTCATGAAGTACTACATCCTCAGTGCAATTTGTGCACAAATGTATCTTGCTATAACTATATGCATGATAATATGATAGCAAGAGTTTTCACCCCTATGTGAAGATATTGAAATGATGATTCCAACAAGATCATATGAAGACAATACATCTATCAGGGATGATGATTTCAAGGTGAAACAAATTCGTTGAAGTTAATATGGTTGATATTGCTTATCAAATATCTACCAATGATCTTTTGAAGATGGTGCACAAGATTGGAATGCAAATGCTTAAAGATGTGAATTGATGCTCTCATCAGGGGGAGTTAATACGCATTGTACTCTTTTTGCCTTACAAGGTTTTGTCCCACTGGGTTTTCCTTGCAAGGTTTTTAACGAGGCAACCAAAAAGGCGTATTATTAGATATGTGTACTCTTTTTTCTTCTCTAGAATTTTTTTCCCACTGGGTTTTATTTTAGTTAAGGTTTTAACGAGGCACATTATCTGTTGAATAGACATTCAAGGGGGAGTGTTATAAATAGAATTTTATTTATGGTGAATGTCTATATTTAGAGATATTCTAGGGTTTATTACTTGGTGGCTAAGTCACTCTCTCCTATAAATAGAGGGTTCTATTCCATTGTAATTCATCACAAATCAATAAGAATTCTCTCCCTCTACTTTTCTCTGCAATACTCTTCTTCTTCTTTTATTGTTTTATAACACTAAAAGATATGTTTATGTAATTATGTTTCTAGTCAACTTATTGCTTCCAACTATTATTGAAGTACGTAACTACGTACGATCTTTTAATACTCCCTCCGGTCCATAATAAGTGACTTTTTGACCTTTTTATTTTGGTTCAAAATAAGTATCATTTTACATAATCAAGAAGGAATTAATTTTAGGGATTTTTACCTTCTTATACTACATATGAAACTTTATTACCCTCCCTAATCAAGCTTTAACTTAATTACATGGTCATATACAATTTGCCAATTATATACAAATAAGTTTTAAAAGAGTATCCCTTTATAATAGGAATTGAACAAAGAATATCAGTTATTTTCTTATTCCTTTATACTTGCCTCTCTCTCTCTCTCTCTCTCTCTCTCTCTATATATATATATATATATATATTCCCCAATTTTTCTTCCTTTAATGTTCTCTGTTTTTTATGCTTTCTTGTTGTATAGAGTTTTAATGGAATTCATCAATGGATTTCAATCGTTTTAACTTAGCAAATCCCTTTCATGTTGCACAATTGATGTTCGAATTAAAATTGACAATCAATAAATTTTGAAGATGTTTCATTCTCCACCATTAACAGCCATTAAAAAGTTTCGAAGCTTTGAATTCGAATTTGTGTTTTCAAAAACTATTATTTGTTTGGATTGGATATTGTTGCAAATAATTGAGAATATTTTTTGGAGTTCATATCTCAATTTTGAGGGTGTTTGGTGAAGATTAGACTTGATTTTAGCCGAATTTCAGATTGAAAATCGAAGAAGAAGAAGAAGAAAACATGACAT